CATCTGCTGTGCCTGTCTGTGTCAGAGTGTGGCTGGGTGGGCAGACTCAACAGTGTTGCACTGGTGACACACACATGCGATGTCTGTGTGACAGTACTTGGCAATGTGTCATGCCCGCACTTACAGAAGGGAGCATGGAGACAGAAGGAGGAGGCGTTCTCTCGCATTCGGCATCAATACACTGGCTGTTGACACATTCGTTTGATTCACACGATGTAAGTCAGCGTGACGTGGACTGGTTGGATTGACGAGCGGCATGGAAATGGGAACTGGTAACAAAGAATTGGGAGTAGAGAACTGAAGGTAACTGTTCATGTGTTCACACTGGAACGGAGAGTTGTCATGTTCGAGGCAAGGCAAGCATTGAAGTTGGACTGTTGATGCATCACGTGCAGCATGGGAATGTGGGTGTTTGACTTGACGAAAGACAGTGAACTACCGATGGGGTTGTGGCATTTGAATTAGTTGGCAGTCATTTCCATCAATTTAAAGTCTTCGCACTGCCAACGAACACTGTCTGCGTTTGTCACATAGTCCTCATCACGGCATTTTTCCAGTCACAGCCAGTTGTTAGCCACATTTAGCGTTTAAGCACTGCCCACCGCTAACGTCATACATGCAGTATAGTGGCACAGAATCTCGTCGACATTCAGGTGCTTCAACCACCTGGTGGAATGCAACTTTGTGTGCATTTAGTGTTTGCCTGTTGTTTGGACACCCATAGGCGAGAGTGCGCAAGAAAATTGCCGCTAGTCATTATCAGCGTTAGTCTACTTGGACTAAATGGCGACATTATAGCTGATGGAGCAGGAATCACATCTAGAACAGCAAAATGCATGCCAAACTGAATGTGGACATATGGAACTCTACGTTATTGTTTGTAACGGAGTCCACAGGTGGATGGGCATCCCCGAGTTTGTGGTAGGCGACTGCGTCGCCAGGTACAACGATCGGAGTTAAGCCTGTCTGTGGTCTGGACTCACCCTCCTGGTCTGCTAACAAGGTAGAAAAAGGACAAGACCTCTGCAAAGGCATTGTGCTAACCGATTGATGTGTAGAGTGTAGGCAAGGAAAAGGGAGCTGATGTGTCTATGATAAACGATGCGTATAAAAGTTCGGTTTTGGAAAGCAGTAAATAGTATT